ATGGTAAGTTATTTGATTTACTTCATTTAATGCCATTATGTATATTATATAAAAATAGGTATATTATCTATAGAGCAAATCCTCAAATATAATCTGTTTTGTATTTTAAATAATATCACAATTAGAGCATGAATAGCAAATAATGTAAATAATACATACCAGAAAATTGATAGCAGATACCATGACTTGCCTGTTTCCAAATGCTAGAAAGGAGGAAAAGAAGATGTTATGCAAACACACATATTTTGGATTGCCACAGTACAAACAATTCAGTCAAGGTTTATTGGATATCACTATCCTTTAATCAAAAGTAATGTCATATGTAATTGACCTTTTGGGATGATAGTTTTGCAATCTGAAAGGGTAAATATTTTAACTTTCCATGGGCACTTTATTTGTAGTAACCTAATTACATTTAGAATACAAATGGAATTTATTTTTAATTTGTGTTATTAAACCCTTTGAAGACAGATTTAACCTAACTTGTTTGTCACTTTAAAAGCATTTAATCCAAATAACATCTTATTTATTTATTTATGTTGATTATTCTTTGATACATGTGCTGAATCAGAAACCTAAATAAACGTAATTTTTTTAATGTTAAAAAATAAATAGAGGCGGGCCGAGTGGCGCAATGCTTAAGAACTGGCTTGGGATGCCAGAGGGCGCCAGTTCAGATCCCACATATGAGGGCCAGTGACACTGCCCTCTATGAGCTAAGATGCTGAACAACAGCTCAACCTGGAGCTGGGCTGCTGTGAGTCGCCTGCGACGGCGTAGGCTGCAGCCTCTGCTGCAGTGGGTTGCCATGGGCTACCGTGTGTAGCCAGCAGCCAGAATGAGCGGCCGTCCAGCAGGCAGCGACTGATTTGCCTCGCCTGGGAAGAGTGCAATGATGGTGCCAACTTTGGCCAGTGAAGCAACGTCCTCCACAACTAGACTGAAGAACAAAAAACGACAGCAACTTGTCTGTTCCCTTCCCCCCAATTCCCCAACACTGTTCCCATCCCCCCAATTCCTCAATAAAAATCTTTAAAAATAAATAAATAAATAAATAAATAAATAAATAAAAGAACCCAATCAGTATGGCTTAGCATATAATGACACCCAATAATATCACTTGATTTTTTAATGTTTAACAATATAAAGAAAAATAACTACTAATCATTTTTCTTTCTGTATTGATTTGTAACAGGCAATATTTTAAGTATTTTATATTTATTCACATAAAAACAATTATATGAGACAGGTTTTATTGTTTTCACCTTAAAATAGAGAAAACTATAGGTTATAAAACTTATTTTATATGAGGTTATAAAACTTCATAGGTTATAAAGAGTAATGGACATGGTGGAATTTAATACAGTGTCCTAATATCACCTTGCTCATGGTGGAAAAGTTGGAATATACAAAAGTACTAAAAGATAGACTTATCTGATAAACTCATCATCTGTATTACCAATTCCATTTCTTCTAATTTTTATATGAGTGTGTATACATGCAATTTAGTTAAGAAATTCTACATACATGGTGGTGTATACCGTGGGTGATTAATGTAGTAGGCAATCCAAGAAGTGAATCCCCAATAAAAGGCACAGCCCTACAAATAACACAAAGCAAAAGTTAGGTTTCTATATAGT